GGTCAGTATTTCATCATTGCCAACACTGGAATAATTCAGGGTTAAAACAAAGTTATATTTAATCAATTGCAACAACAAACTATCAATACAAATGTATCATTCTCACCATCTGTTAGGTTTCTGTTTCTGTTATTGTCATTAACTGGCCTGTTTGCTCCTCCTTAATTGGTTATTTCTGTCACCTGTCGTTTTCCCTCCCTGCCTCAATTATGTGATCATCTTCAGTCAGATGATAGTGGTCACTTACCTGTGTTTCTCCCACCAGAGTGTCGGTGATTGGGCTGGAGTGCTAAAATATAAATATGTTTTAGCACTCCGACCCCAGTTACTTTTTCTGTCTTGGCTCTGTTTTGTTTTTCTTTTGATTTTTCAGTTTTACTTTGCTCCATGTTTTATTTTCTTGGTGATCTAATTCTTATTTATTTATTTTTTTCTGTTTTCAGCTTTCTAGATTTTTTATTTATTCCCCTCTTGTGTTCTCCTTTTTCCTATGCTCTTTTCCTCTCCTGCCCTGTGCTCACCTGTTCCCAATCTGCTCATTAGTCTTCTTTGTCTCAGTCTCCTTTAAATGCTTTCCCTCTTCAGTTCTTATTTGCTGGGTCCTTGTCCGTCTCTCTGAGCCTTCCTCTTCTAGATTGAATCCCCCCTAATGTCTCCATGGATTCTGGTTTGTTTTTAACTTTGTTTTCATGTTTTGACTTTGGATTTTTGGACTCCCGCTTTTCAGGTTGTTTGGACTTAGTTTTTCATGTTTGGATTTCTTGCCTCTGTTTCCTGTTAACCTTTATTAAACCCATAAGAAATTCACCTCTGCCTCTGCATTTTGGGTCATCTATCCACTACCAAATCATGACAGCATCACAGTCCGGAAACAGGAAGGTTGATGCTGAAAGGGAGATTAAAGGCCTGAAAAACCCCAAAGACAACATCAGCAGCTCCAAAAATGATGTTGTTTATAAGCATTCTCTGGAACGGTAACTCATTTGAACATGTCCTCACAAAAAACAAAGAATAACCTTTACAGTTTTTCCAACATTTAACTGAAAAAGTTACTGTCTTTTTTTTTTTTTTTTAAAGGCAAAACTCAGCTTTAGCCCCAGAGAGACAAAAGTTCCTTAATGACGACAATCCAAGGAAGAGAAAATACAAAACAGAACCTGTAAGTTGAAGTAGATTTATTCTTTGTTGCTCCAGGTGAAGCTTTTTGCTATGATTTGTTTAACTTATATAGTGTTTTTTTACCCCACAGCAAACGTGCCATTTCTCATTCGGCATGTCAGCTTTCAACCTGGCCAACGCCATCATGGGCACCGGCATGCTGGGTTTGTCATTTGCCATGGCAAACACCGGTATCATTCTGTTTACGTGAGCATACACACACCTGTCACTTGAAGATCTCAGCCCCTGATGTAATCTTCAGTATTTTCACTATTACTATTACTCCA